CAGCTCACAGCAACCTCCAGCTCCTGGGCTCAAGCAATTCTCCTGCCTCCACCTCCCAAGTAGTTGGGACTACAGGCGCCTGCCACAATGCCCAGCTATTATGTGGCTGGCGCCTTAGCTGCTTGAGCCACAGGCGCCTAGCCAACATGGAACTTTCTTTCTCCAGCTCTCCTATGGCTGATTCCTCCTCACGCTCTGGGTCTCAGCCTAAATGCAACCTTGTCAGAAAGACCTGCCCTGGCTCCTTTGTTTCACTCTAGCTGGCCCCTAAACATTATCTATTATATTGCCACCTTTTATTTCTTTCATAGCACTTGCTCAGATCTGAACTTATCTGATTTACTTCTCTGTTCCCTTGTTTCGTCTCCTTCTCTCCTGAGAGCAGGAATCATGCCTGGATCACTCACCATTAAATCTCACACAGCACAAGCCTCATTACAGAGCAGCGACACTTAATAAATACTGCTTGGTACATGATTAGACACAATCACTTCCTCCAAGAGGCCACGGTCTCAGCTCCACACCCTCCCACCTCCAATCCTTTACTCCAGTGGTTACCACTCCAGGGACCCCCTTCTCAAACTACCATCTTGGTTAACCCCAGCTCACCGTCCAGTCTCCTTCAAATATAACCTCAGGCAAACTATGTCTGAAAAGCTCCTGCAGCATCTATTGTTGGTAAACCAAATTCTCATCATATCTGATAATTATATTTTTACATTACATGGTAATTTTACTTGTTCCCTGCTGAGGCCCAGCTGATAGCATAGAGCCAAGTCCATAGTGGCTTTCAGTAAATGTTTGTTGAATGACTAAATGATTGAATGATGTGCCATGTATCAAAGATCAGTATTATTACAATTCCCTTCTCCAATGGGTGAATGAATGAATTAATGAAGATGAGGTCTCAAGGGCTCTGCAACCAAGACTCCTTTGAACCATCTTCAAATTCCCCAGAATTCCCATAGCATCACCAACAGCACAGCTCAGCCCACCCTCCCAGGATACCTAAGGCATCAGGCCAGATTCCAGGGTGGGGACAGTGGTTACCGTAGTCCTTAGGGAGGGGGGCAGGTGCTGAGGGGTGTACAACAGGCTTCTGCCGGCGTTCCTGGGTGGGGCTGGGGACCTCAGGGACAGGCTCATCCTCTTCTTCCTCTTCTTCCTCCTCCCCTCGGGGCGGCGGGGCCATCGGGGCGGGATCTGTCTTAGTCATGGTTGTTGGTGGCCCTGGGGGGCAGGGGGGCAGATGCAGAGTTGCAGGCCACCTTCAGGCAAATGTTGAAGCCAGAGGTCAGCTACAGAGGCTGCCCACAGGCTCCGGGGTCCAAGCCCCCAGAAGCTCCTGGGCTGCGGGGGGCCGTCACACAACTGGATCTTGGACAAGCATAGGATCCCCATTACCCATCAGGGGCTCCCGTATGCGCGCCTGGCGCCTGCCACCACCCCCAGGCCCAGCCCCCCATTCTTCTCCTCCAGCGTCAGGCCCCTCTGTCTCCGCCGCCCCCTCCTCAGGTTTGTTTATCTCGGGATGCAGGATGCTATGCCCCTCCCCTTTTCCGTGGGCCTCCCCTCTTCCCATCTTACCTGGGGTAGACGGGGCTGGGGACCAAAGCTGAGACTAGGAGATCGCGGGAGCAATGGGGTATCGGTGCCGGGAGACGTGATTAGGGAAGGGAGGGAGACAGAGAGAAGGGGACCAGGCCCAGACACCAAGGGGGGATGGGGTGGAGAGGGAGGGGCGCTGACGGCGCATGCGCCTGCTTACCCGCCCAACTGCGAGCGGGGGAGGAGACTGGAAGCAAAGGAGATAGACTCCGAGGACCGGGAGGGGAAGAAGACACGGCCACAGAGAAGGATGCGAGACAAGGCGACTGCAGGAAAGAGACGAAGCAGCGCGACGGGACAAAGAGGGAGGGATGGGAAGCTGTGCACTCCTTTTTATCCATCCTTGCTAAGATGAAGACTTCCCCTGGTCCTGCAAACCAGGCCAGCTAGGGCAGTGGTCTCAGTGCATGGTGATGACGGGTGTTCTCTCTTCGGGACCTTGGACCTTGTTCATGCTCACCCTATATGAGGGCTGATTTTGCAGAGATTCCTATCATCGTAGTGGTCATCCTTACTATCACCATGCAGTGCTCACACACTTACTTTGGCCCAGAGAGGTTAAGCCGCTTGTCCAAGAGTACACAGCAAGTAGGTAACAGAGCTAAAATTTGAAACTAGGCAGCCTGTAAAGTCTGGTTCTTAATCACCACGCTACATGGCTGTAGAAGTGTCTAGGGGACAGATCCGCCCATGGACCCCTCCAAGCCTGTCATAACCTGTATCTTCTCCCTCAGGAAGATTTCCTAGAGCCAGCCCAGGGTCCTGGCTCCATCATCCTGGCTTGGCCAAAATCATTGCAGCCTAAACATGGTTTGCCTTCCTCCCTCATCTTTCTAATAAGCAGGCCCAGTAGCTCCCTCTCTGAACTACTTCCAGAATTTTGTCCTTTCCTCCCCAACCCAGGCCCTTATCCTGGTCTACCCTTCATCTTCTCCCACCCAGACTGTGGCAGCAGCCTCTTCCCTGCTCCCCCTGTCCCCAGTCTGCTCCCTACATGCTGCCACAGGGACCTGTTGGCACCTGTCACACTGGAACCCTCCTTGACTCAGAGGCATCTGCTTGCTGCACCTCACTACAGACAAAAGCCAAGGCTTTTGACCATGGCCCACAAGGCCTTATGTGAACTTGCCCCTACCATCTCTCCAGCATTACCTCCTCCCACTGCCCTCTCTGCTTACTCCAGCCATACTGGCCTCTTTGCTCTTTGCCTGGAATGCTCTTCCCCCAGATACTCACATAGTTCTCTCTCTTGCCTCTTTCAGCATTTTACTTGATGCCTTTTCAGTGGCATCTTCTCTGCTCTCCCTATCTAAAGTGGCACCCCCGGCCCAGCACAGTGGCTTACACGTGTAATCCCAGCACTCTGGGAGGCTGAGGCGGGTGCATTTCTTGAAGTCAGGAGTTTGAGGCCAGCCTGAACAAGAGACCCTGTCTCTACTAAAAATAGAAAGAAAAAAAAACAGCTGGGCATTGTGGTGCAGGCATGTAGTCTCAGCTACTGGGGAGGCAAGGGGATACCTTGAGCCCAAAAGTTTGAGGTTGCTATGAGCTATGATGCCATGGCACTCCACTCCAAGCAACAGATAAAAAAACAAATAAAATAAAATGGCACCCATTCCCCACCTCTACCCCTACACTCCTTTTCCTGATGCAAACTGACTTCCTCAGTCTGATACACCCTGGACTAGTGATTTTCAACTGGTGTGCCACAAAAATTTTTAAAGATCATTAATTATTTTCAAAAGAAATTCAAAGCACAGTAAGTATATTTTTCACTTTTTTAAAAAATCAATATAATTTAAGTGTGCTGTGGAAGTTTAACTATAGGTTTAAGTGTGCTGTGAGAGTAAAAAAAAAAAAAAAAGGTTGAAAAACACTGCCCTATGTGCTAGGCCCTCTGCAGGAGCTGCTCATCTCCTGGAACCCTGGCCCACATGGCCTCCAGGCCAGTCCCTTCTCATCATCCCAGGTCTCTCTGCTCAAACAGACCTTAGAGAGTCCTCTTCCCACCTCTCCTCTTAATTACCTTTTTTATTCGGTCTTTATAGCATTTATCACAGTCTGAAGTTATCTTGTTTATTAGTTTACTAGTTCATCTCCTACTCAAGTAGAATGTGAGCACCATGAGGGACAGGGATGATTTTCAGCTCTGTTCACTGTGGTATCCCCAGCGCAGCACTAGTCATGACAAAAGATGTGAGGGGCTCTTCAGAAACCAGGTACAACGCTCCCCAAACAAACAACCTGTGTTCCTCTCTAAGGTTGTTTTACTGACTATAAAGATTTGAGCTAGGGGTGGCAGAGGGCTGGTATTGGGAACTGATAGGGAACTTGGGCCTAGGCACCCCTAAGGTTCAAGGGGTCCCTAGGAGGGGGGTCATGGAACCAAGGCCCTTGAGAGAGGCATTGCTGCTCCCAAGGAATGGGTGGTGGGGCTGGGCCAAGCCCGTGGTTGATGTATCTCTCTTCTTCCATCCTGTATGTTCTGTCCCTTGACATTACTGTTCTGATCCTTATGCACTGGGGCTCCGAGTGTCCAGGAGCTCAGGCTTGGCGTCCACTGTTGGAGATGCAGGGCTTTGGGCAAGGATCACAGCTATTTCAGGCCCTCCACAGATGATGGTGAAGGCTTGGGATTCCTCAGGCCCAGAGATCTGGGCCATCCCATGTGACAAAGTTGTAGAGATGGGGAACATGAGGGAGGGAAGAGGGGGAGAGAGATAGACAGAAATAAATGGTGAGGAACAGGGGAGCCAAGGTGGGAAGGGGTGTCAGGAAACAGATATATGGGGAGACCAGGCAGCAGATGTGAGAGCCAGAGAGACAACAAACATGTGAGGGGACAGAGACATAGGGAGACAGACAGAGGGGCAGACAGATGTGGAAAGACAGGGACATACATATGGGGGACACAAAAAGATGCAGATAAAGAAAGATACAGAGAGATGGGAAAACAAGTGTGAGGACAGAGAGATGAGGGAAGAGATTAAGAAATGGGATGAATGATTAGAAGACAGGGATTGAATGGGGGGAAGGGAGGCAGAGAAAGAGAGACACTGTCAGCCCAGGGACCCGGGCAGGCTCCATGAAGAGCCCCAGGCCTGAGTCTGAGCTCTATTCCTGCTCCACTGTCCCTCTATGCCAGTCTCAAACTCAAAAGCCCCCAGGGACAGCCACATTGCCACTCTGGTGACTGCTATTACAAGGGAATATGAACCCAGAACTGCTAGATCTGCTGAGCCTTTCTCAAAGATCAAAAATTATTTTAAGGTATTGCTGAGGCCAAAGAAATTATGTCTATAGGTACTGTCAAATCCACTGGCTGCCAATCTGAGACACCGTAACTACAGAGGTGCTGTAGGGCTCTTTTCTGAACCCCCTCCAATGAGTGAATCCATAGCTCTGGGAGCCAGGGGTTCTAGGCTGGGGACCTCAAGGTTGCCCTGGGGCTTTCACCAGGGGAAAGGCTTGGTCAAAGTTTGATTTTCAAAGACATGTCATCCCTTCCCATCTCAAACACCCAGCAGTAAAATATAGCTGCAAAAGGGCTTCAGATAGGGCTGAAGACATTAGCACAGGGATGGCAAAGCTCTATGAGGATCCAGCAGGGAGCAGAACCTTGGCTCTGTAAATTATTGGCTGCCTGACTTTGGGCAACTTGTTGGACCACTCTATGCCTCAGTTTTCTCATCTGGTAAATGACGATAACAGTAGTATCAAGATCATGTCATTAACTCTTGGGTCAGCAGAGTAAGAACTCCTCAGATACAACAGTTAATAAATAGAGCAGCCATAACTCAGCTCTAACCAATAGCTGCTTGGCAGTCCCAGGTTGATTTTTTTTTCCAAAAGAAGTCCAGAATTTGGAAACACGGGTAAGATATTCTGATTTTTAAACATTAGACCGTAATCTAAATTAAAACTGTATGGGCTAGGCACGCGGCAGGCACTCACCACGGGCTGCAGGCCCCGGCGCGCCCGCGCCAGCAGGCTCTGCCCATGCAGCTGCTGCGCCAGCTGTTCCAGAGTCCGCAGCTGCGCCTGGTGCCGCTGATGGCGCCGCTGCAGCCTCCGCACCCGCTGCTGCAATGCTCCCAGCGCCGCGCCCAGCCCGGCCTGGGCCTGCAGAGGGGGGATGTCGGGGTGTCGCCCCGCGAAAGTGGGCGAAGGGGGAGGAGAGGGCAGGAGCACCGTTGCTGCAGCCTCAGGGGTCCCCGACCCCGGGCCCAGTACCACAAGGTGTACCGGGCCAGAAGATGGGATGGCGCACCCTGGGGGCTGCGGTGTAGCCTCTTGTGGACCAGCAGGTGGCACAACCCGCTTCTTGGTGCTTTGCGTACCCCGCTGGCTCTGGAAGAGAAGGTGTGAGATGGGAAGCACCAGGGCCGGTCCTCAACCGGGCTCCTCAGGAGGCAAGGTTAGGGAGAGGGTCAGTCGCCAAGGGAAACTTCCATCAGGAGAGGAGGGCTGAGGGTCAGATTCAGGTAGGGACTTCCTTTGAGCGGGCAGCACAGGGGATAAAATAGAGCAGTAGGACTTGTGGCACGCACCTTGGGGGGCGGTGCCTGGAAGATGGAGGGCACCGCGTCCGGTCGCAAGTAGCGCACGCCCCAGCGCCACTGGAAGCAGGAGGGCGCGAAGTGCTCGCTGCACAAGTGCTGGTGGTAGCTGGGCACCCAGTGCTCACGGCCCATGCGCTGCAGCCAGGCCTGCAGCCGGGGCCCATCCTTCAGTGGGAACCTGCATGGGTGGTGGGTGGCTGGGTCAGCACCATTAGGTCTAGACCCATCCCTCTCTGAGAATACCCACATCTGGGGGTCAGGGCTCCAACCTGGGGTCTCCCCTGAGCCCGGAATTGGCCTAGCCTCCCAACCAGGCTTTCTTTTCCTTTTTCTTTCTTTCTTTCTTTTTTTTTTTTTTTTGAGACAGAGTCTCACTTTGTCGCCCTCTGTAGGGTGCCATAGCTTCACAGCTCACAGCAACCTCAAACTCTTGGGCTTAAGCAATTCTCTTGCCTCAACCTCCCAAGGAGCTGGACTACAGGCCCTCACCATAACACCTGGCTATTTTTTTGTTGCAGTTTGGCCGGGGTCAGGTTCGAACCCGCCACCCTTGGTATATGGAGCCAGCGCCCTACTCACTGAGCCATAGGTGCTGCCCTCTTTCTTTTCTTTTTATTCTCTTTTCTTTTCTTTTGAAACAAGAGTCTCACTTTGTTACCCTTGTTAGAGTGCCCTGGCTTCATAACTCACAGCAACCTCAAACTCTTGGTTTCAAGTGATCCTCCTGCCTCAGTCTGCTCTGTAGCTAGGACTACAGCTGCCGTTGCCAAAGTCGGGCTACTTTTTCTATTTTTAGTAGAGATGAGGTCTTGCTCTTGCTCAGGTTGGTCTGGAACTCCTGAGCTTAGGCGATCCACCCACTTTGGCCTCCCAGAGTGCTAGGATTATAGGCCCAAGTCACCAGTGCCTGGCCCAACCCAAGCTTTCTCTACCTTATCCTCACAACTTGTTCTTCCACTCCAACTTTTATTATTTATTTATTTATTTATTTATTTATTTTTGGCCAGGGCTAGGTTTGAACCGCTCTACCTCTGGTATATGGGGCCAGCGCCCTACTCCTTTGAGCCACAGGCGCCACCTCCACTTCAACTTTTAAATGCCCAGCATAGGCCAACCTCTCCCTCTTCTACTGCCCCTCTTTTATAAAGGAACAACTTATAAAAGCAGACTTCTAGAATATGGAAGAGTGTACAGTCAAGTGAAAATGTGTCTTCCAGAGTGGCACCTGTGGCTCAGTGAGTAGGGCGCCGGCCCCATATAACAAGGGTGGTGGGTTCAAACCTGGCCCCAGCCAAACTGCAACAAAAAAATAGCTGGGCGTTGTGGCAGGTGCCTGTAGTCCCAGCTACTCAGAAGGCTGAGGCAGGAGAATTGTCTAAGCCCAGGAGTTGGAAGTTGCCATGAGCTATGACACCACAGCACTCTACCAAGGGCAATAAAGCAAGACTCTGTCTCAAAAAGAAAAAAAAATGTGTCTTCCATAACCACATAAAATAGGGGCTGAGAATAGTGGTGCTATAGATTAAAAGAGATTTAAAAACATCAACCCAAGTGGCACCTGTAGCTCAATGGGTAGGGTGCCAGCCACATACACTGAGGCCGGTGGGTTCTAACACAGCCTGGGCCAGCTAAAACAACAATGACAACTGTAACAACAAAAAAAAATAGCTGGGTGTTGTGGCAAGTGCCTGTAGTCCCAGCTACTCGGGAGGCTAAGGCAAGAGAATCGCTTAAGCTCAAGAGTTTGAGGTTGCTGCGAGCTGTAACACCATGGCACTCTACCAAGGGCAACATAATGAGACTTAGTCTCAAAAAAAAAGAAAAAAAGAAAATGGAATATAATAAGTGTACATGAAGACATGGAGAAAAATAAACCCTTCTGTACTGCTGGGAATATAAAAACGATATGGCAGTTCTTTTAAAAAATGAAAAATAGAATTTATAGCCCAGGGAGGTAGCCCATACCTGTAATCCTAGCATTCTGGGAGGCTGAGGCTGGTGGGTCACCTGAGCTCAAGAGTTTGAGACCAGCCAGAGCAAGAGACCTATCTCTACCAAATAGAAAAATAAGATGAGGCATTGTGGCAGGCGCCTGTAGTCCCAGCTACTTGAGAGGCTGAGGCAAGAGGATTCCTGGAGCCCAAGAGTTTGAAGCTGTCGTCAGGTGTAATGATGTGACAGTCTTCCCAGGGAAATAAAGTAAGACTCTATTTCAAGAAAAATATGTGAATTTGCTTACCACTACTGAACTGTAACACTTAAGAATGGTTAATATGGCTGGGCATGGTGGCTCATGCCTGTAATCCTAGCACTCTGGGAGGGCGAGGAGGGTGGATTGCCTGAGCTCATGGGTTTGAGAACAGCCTGAGCCAGATCAAGATCTTGTCTCTAAAAATAGCCAGGCATTGTGGTAGGCACTTGTAGTCCCAGCTACTTGGGAGGCTGAGGCAAGACAATCACTTGAACCCAAGAGTTTGAGGTTACTGTGAGCTATGATACCACAGTACTCTACTAGCAGCAACAAAGTGAGACCCTATCTCAAAAAAAAAAAGAGGCTCAGTGCCCATAGCACAGTGGTTACAGTGCCAGCCACACACACTGAAGTTGGTGGGTTCGAACCCAGCTGGGCTTCCTGACCAGCAATGACAACTGCAACAAAAAATAGCTAGGTGTTGTGGGCAAGCGCCTATAGTCCCAGCTACTTGGGAGGCTGAGGCAAGAGAATCACTTAAGCCCAAGAGTTAGAGGTTGCTGTGAGCTGTGACGCCACAGCACTCTACTAAGGATGACAAAGTGAGACTCTGTCTTAAAAAAAAAAAAAAAAGAAAAGAAAAAGAAAAAGAAATGAAATGAAAAGAAAGAGTAGGCCGGGCTCAGTGGCTCACACCTGTAATCCCAGCACTTGGGAGGCCAAGGTGGGTGGATTGCCTGAGCTCACAGGTTTGAGATCAGCCTGAGCCAGAACAAAACCTTGTCTCTAAAAATAGCCAGGCATTGTGGTGGCCACATGTAGTCCCAGCTACTTGGGAGGCTGAGGTGAGAAAATTGCTTGAGACCAAGAGTTTGAGGTTGCTATGAGCTATGACACCATAGCACTCTACCAAATGTAACAGAGTGAGACTCTATCTCAAAAAAAAAGGAAGAGTATCCTGTAATCCTAGTACTCTGGAAGGCCAAGGTGGGTAGACTGCTTGAGCTCATGAGTTTGAGACTAACCTGAGCAAGAGTTAGTCCCCATCTCCACTAAAAATAGAAAAACTAGGCCAGGCGCAGTGGCTCACACCTGTAATCCTAGCACTCTGGGAGGCCAAGGCCAGTGGACTGCCTGAGCTCACAGGTTTAAGACCAGACTAAGCCAGAGAGAGACCTCATCTCTTAAAATAAATAATAATAATAATAGGCCAGGCAGAGTGGCTCATGCCTGTAATCCTAGCACTCTGGGAGGCTGAGGTGGGTTGATTACCTGAGCTCAAGGGTTCAAGACCAGCCTGAGCAAAAGTGAGACCCTGTCTCTATTTAAAAAATAGAAAAACTGGCTCGGCGCCTATAGCTCAACGGGCTAGGGCGCCAGCCACGTACACCTAAGGTGGCGGGTTCGAATC